GACCCACTAGAAACAGCATCAAAATTGATAGAAAAGATAGAGTTTGAAAATAAATAAAGATAAGACAAAGATCTTGACAAAGAATATGCTATCAAGACAAAAGGAAGAACTGGCAGACTTATTGAAAATTCAGGTCACGAATAAGATCAAGTACTTGGAGATATACTTGACAGCAAGATGCAGTACACTAAAAGAGAATAATTATATCAAACTTAAACAGCAGATAGCGCTAGATTTGGCGAAATGGGAAAATTTACAACTGTCATTAATAGGGAGAATATGAACAATCAAGATGAATATATTACCCAGAATTTTATATTTGTTTCAAACAATTCCAATTAGGCTTGGAAAAGACTATTTTGAAGATTTAAATAAAATTGTGTTGAAATTTATATGGCAAGGTAAGAAAGCGAGAATAAAGTTAAAACTTTTGCAAGATGCTAGAATAAGAGGAGGATTTGCTTTGCCTAATTGGGAGTTGTATTACCAAGCTACAAATTTGATGTGGGTTAAGGAATGGATAATATTAAGAAATACTAGATTGTTGACATTAGAAGGACATGATCTGTTGTTGGGGTGGCATGCTTTTTTATGGTATAAAGGAACTAAAACACAGGGGTACTTTAGAAGACATTATATACGGGAGTCTCTATGGTTTAACTGGGAGAAGATTAAAAGACAATGTTATTTGAAAATTCCAGTCTGGTTATCGACTATTGAAGCATTTTCTTATCCTATAATATACAAAAAGGAACAAACAGTTAGATATGGTGAAATATTGAATGAAAAGGGTGAACTTAAATCTATACAAAAACTAGAGGAACAAGGTATAAAGATGAATTAGTTTTCATATTCAAGGTATGATAAAGATTCTAAAACAGAAGGTTTCTATGATAAACTGACTGACTTAGATAAGATTTTGACAGGTACTGATGAAAATTGCATGAATATTTATTAGAAATTAAACTAGAAGAAGAACAAGTTAAAGAAACTATGATTGCTTGGGGGGAAGAATTTTGGATATGGGATTGATCTAGAGAAATGGCAAAAATTGTGGTCTCAAAATTATAAAATGACAATGTCAACAGCATATAAAGAAAATTTGTATAAGATGTTTTACAGGTGGCATTTCCCCCCGACAAGAATAGCAAGAATGTTCAAGAATAAATCCGAAAAATGTTGGAAATGTCATCAGACACCTGGCTCATATTACCATATGTGGTGGACTTGTGCGGATGCTAAAAAATACTGGAATAAAATCCACACGTGGTTGGAAAAAATGACAAAAAAACATATAGATTTGAAACCAGAGATATTTTTATTGGGAATTTTACCTGAAATATATAGTAAAGATTTGAAATACCTGATTGTAAATGTATTAACAGCGGCTAGGATTGTATTTGCTAAAAACTGGAAAAATGAGAAAATACCATCACAGGAGGAAATTATTAAGAAAATATTGGAATGTGCTGAAATGAGCAGGTTGACATTTGAAATTAGAGAACAGGATTATAAACAATTTTATAAAGTTTGGGATCTATTCTATCAATGGTTAGACAATAAAGTATAGTAATGAAATATGTAGACTTTTAGAAAATACTAAATATATAAAGATGTATTCTTTTCTTATTATATCTACAAAATGTTTTTAGGATAGATTTGGGGTGATAATATGAATTGTCACAAAACAAATTAAGTAAAATATGATTATTTCACAAAGCATGAATGAATAAAAGTATAGTCAAATTATTGATTAATAATGATACCAATGTATTTAATATTGGATTGAAAATATGAGATCATATACAATGCAATTGTAATTGAAGACTACGAAATGGAAGCACAAAACAATTTGTAAACCAACCGGCACACTGTATGTACATATATAGAAGATGGCCTGATGTTTTTATGTTTTGTTTGTTTATGTTTGTTTTAAAAACCAATACAAATTTATAAAAAAGAAAAGAAAAGAAAATGTCCACCATTTGGAGCATACAACTGATGTGATATGTCACAGTGCTAGCTTTGAGAAAGCAAACATTTGCACAATTGTAATGAATCTTTTCAGAACATTTTTCAGAGATGAGGTACTAATACTACTCTATAAAGCCTTAGTAAGACCACAACTACAGTATTGCATCCAGTTTTGGTCACCACACTATAAAAAGATGTTAAGACTCTAGAAAGAGTGCAGAAAAGAGCAACCAAGATGAGCAGGGGATTGGAGATTAAAACATATGAAGAAAGGTTGCAGGAACTGGGCATGACTAATCTAGTGAAGAGAAGGGAGACATGATAGCAGTGTTCCAGTATTTGAGGGGCTGCCACAGAGAGGAAGGGGTCAAGCTATTTTCCAAAGCACCTGAAGGCCAGACAAGGAATAGTGGATGGAACCTGAACAAGGAGAAATTCAACCAGAAAATAAGGAAAAAATTTCTGACAGTGAAAGCAATCAACCAAAGGAACAGTTTTCCTTAAGAAGTTGTGGGAGTTTCATTACTGGAAGCTTTCAAGAAGAGACTGGACTGCCATCTGTCAGAAATGGTGTGGGGTCTCCAGCTTGGGCAGGGGGTTGGACTAGATGATCTACAAGGTCCCTTCCAACTCTGTTAATCTGTAAATTTTGTCTCTGGGACAGGCTGATGAAATTTTCTCTTGATGCTGATAACCTATGGCGATCTTTAATCTTAGTGTCTACTTAAACTGCTTCCACCTATGGAAAACTCTTTGGTGATTTATTGACTTTTCATGGCACACCAAATTTGTATTCCAGATTTTTCCATTCCTTTGTGGCTGTTGTATTTGCAACAAAAACCACAGCATCTACACTTTGCCACTGCAAGGAATTTCATATTAGGACAAACTGAAACATCTTATTTTTATTGTTTTGGAGGAGCATGAAATTGTTCTAACCCATGAAATACACGATGAGTGCTCAGACGAGCCTACAATCCTGATTACTTTACTGTAGATTTAAGAAATTTAATTTAACAGTAGCTGTTTCTTGTGTCCTCACCAACTCTTCCCTGACCTGCACTTTTCTTCAGAAATGTACTTAGTTATATCCATTTGAAAGCAGTTGTTAGGTCAACTGCACTTGGACTAACTAGAAGGGTCATGAACATTTCTGCCTCTGTATCTCAAGAATTAAAAGGCTTCCTTTGCTTTTTGCCTCTTTTTGAACATTATCTCAGATTCCCCCCATCCCCTTTCATTCATGGTTGTTGTTCTGTGCCAACTATGGTGCCTCTCAAGACTAAAAATAATAAGCAGAGTGGTAGCAGGGCTAAAATAGAATGATGTTAGTGTTTTAAGGACAAGTGCCCTCTACCAATATCTCTTACTTTGTTGCTGAACAATTGACTGTCCATTCTCCTCAAGTGGATTCAAAGGAGCAACTTTCTGAGAAGCTTTTACTCATCAATCTATGATCCTGGGGGTGCTGGAGAACTATATAAAAGGATCTTTCTCCTTGCTCTCTCCCTAAGTTTATCCTTTTTATTATTTCTCCTCACTTTTTCTTGTTATATTTCTTGTGCCTTACTTTCTTCAGCACCATACTTTCTTGTACCTCTTGTATCTAGAGTAGAAATAATACATTTCTCCAGCAACAATTTTCTACATTCTGGATCTAAGTAGCAACGCCCTCCGCAGTCTGGCACCTGAGACAGTCACTTCAGTTTGCCTCCTAGTAAAACACTCTAGCACTTTGTTTTAGCATGTACATGATATAAAAAGCCAGGAGAAAGATAGCAGGGGTTTGTTTTTTTTTCATTTCATACTTTAATTGGTTCTTCCTATCACAATATACAGATCACTGGCTTCCCTAGAGGAAATGAAAGCAGTTGCCTATGTGCTGGTGCAATGTACAAGGAAATGTTTACCTTTTATGTGGGGCAGTTTTAGAAATGCCTGCACAGATTTGTATATGTAATACACTTGATATTCCCCTGCTATGCAAAATCAGGTGGTAGAGACTGAAAGTAAGAGATTGTTGACTATAATTCCATGGCTTTTCCTTCTAGTGCTGAGTAGCTAATATGCTGAAGCTTATCTGAAATTCTGTGGTAGATTGCAGCAATTATACAAAAATTATATCCAGAAATATTTCCAAAGTCAAGTCCACCTAGATTTCAAAACGCTTCATGAATGGGTTTAGTATAGCATACTTCCAAATGAATCATTCCCTAATTTTCACTTACAACTACCTTTTCCCTGAATATTCTCCTTGACTAGAAATGTGTAGGTCTGGAGCAGGGGTCTCAAACACAATTTACCTGGGGACCAGAGGCTGGGTGAGGCTGGGCCGCATAATATTATACTTTATATTATACTTTATATTTATATTATACACTAATATTATACTTTCATATCACGGTGGGGGCCACAGGATATCGTCCTGCGGGCCGCAATTGGCCCGTGGGCCGCGAGAATGAGACCTCTGGTCTGGAGGATTAAATTTAAAATGCAACTATCACATTTGTTCCATAATTTAACTAACCTCTCCTTTAAGAGTTTGAAGTGAGGTTGCCTGGGGCAGCGTTTAGCCAGATTGAAAAGGCGTCGGACAATCCGATGGCTTTTCTTTTCTAGCATCTTCAAAGTCATGCCCAATTTTTTATAGCGATGCTGAATATCAACATCTGCTGCCCAATATTGGGAGATGGCAGTTATGTTCAGGAAGCGATCCACTGGCAGCTTCTTCACAAGCGACTGTAGTTCCTCTGGGAAAACAAAACAAAATGTCAGCTACAAGAAAAGAATAGAAAACACCACAAAGTTACTATAGTTTGTTTCAATAATCAGAGGACCATGGAATTAATTGAGCCTTGGACTATGCTACTTATTATTTATTTATATTTTGCCTTTATTGTTTTTATAAATAACTCAAAGCAGCAAACATATCCAATGCAACTTCCTCCTCCTATTTTGCCCACAACAACAACCCTTTGGTGTGAGTTGGGCTGAGAGATGATTGCTCCAAAGTCACCCAGCAGGCATTCATGGCTAAGGAGTGCCTGCAGATTTTACTCTGCTAGGTCTTGCTGACTATAGGGTTAGGGTTAGGGTTAGCACAAAGCATCTCCAAGAAGCACAAAGCCGAAGACACAAGCCTGAAGATGACGAATGAGATTTCGTCGAAACGTTGCCAAGATACTTCCAATTTTACGCGGGAGAAAACCCGAATAATCAAAGATCCACATACAAATACCCGCGAAAACCTTAGAAAATATACACATACACATACACACACACACACACACACACACACACACACACACACACACATATATATACATATACATATACATACATACATACATACATACACACACTGCTCAAAAAAATAAAGGGAATACTTAAACAACACAATGTAAGTCCAAGTCAATCACACTTCTATGAAATCAAACTGTCCACTGAGGTAGCAACACTGATTGACAATCAATTTCACATGCTGTTGTGCAAATGGAATAGACAACAGGTGGAAAGCATAGGCAGTTAGCAAGACATCCCCAATAAAGGAGTGGTTCTGCAGGTGGTGACCACAGACCACTTCTCAGTTCCTATGCTTTCTGGCTGATGGTTTGGTCACTTCTGAATGCTGGCAGTGCTTTCACTCTAGTGGTAACATGAGACGGAGTCTACAACCCACACAAGTGGCTCAGGTAGTGCAGCTCATCCAGGATGGCACATCAATGCGAGCTGTGGCAAGAAGGTTTGCTGTGTCTGTCAGCGTAGTGTCCAGAGCATGGAGGTGCTACCAGGAGACAGGCCAGTACATCAGGAGACGTGGAGGAGGCTGTAGGAGGGCAACAACCCAGCATCAGGACCGCTACCTCCGCCTTTGTGCAAGGAGGGACAGGAGGAGCACTGCCAGAGCCCTGCAAATTGATCTCCAGCGGGCCACAAATGTGCATGTGGCTGCTTAAATGGTCAGAATCAGACTCCATGAGGGTGGTATGAGGGCCCGACGTCCACAGGTGGGGGTTGGGCTTACAGCCCAACACTGTGCAGGACGTTTGGCATTTGCCAGAGAACACCAAGATTGGCAAATTCACTACTGGCACCCTGTGTTCTTCACAGATGAAAGCAGGTTCACACTGAGCACATGTGACAGACGTGACAGGGTCTGGAGACGCCGTGGAGAACGTTCTTCTGCCTGCAACATCCTCCAGCATGACCGGTTTGGCAGTGGGTCAGTAATGGTGTAGGGTGGTATTTCTTTAGGGGGTCGCACAGCCCTCCATGTGCTCGCCAGAGGTAGCCTGACTGCCATTAGGTACCGAGATGAGATCCTCAGACCCCTTGTGAGACCGTATGCTGGTGCAGTTGGCCCTGGGTTCCTCCTAATGCAAGACAATGCTAGACCTCATGTGGCTGGAGTGTGTCAGCAGTTCCTGCAAGACAAAGGCATTGATGCTATGGACTGGCCCACCCGTTCCCCAGGCCTGAATCCAATTGAGCACATCTGGGACATCATGTCTCGCTCCATCCACCAACGCCACATTGCACCACAGACTGTCCAGGAGTTGGGGGATGCTTTAGTCCAGATGTGGGAGGAGATCCCTCAGGACACCATCCACCACCTCATCAGGAGCATGCCCAGGCATTGTAGGGAGGTCATACAGGCATGTGGAGGCCATACACACTACTGAGCCTCATTTTGACTTGTTTTAAGGACATTACATCAAAGTTGGATTAGCCTGTAGTGTATTTTTCCATTTTAATTTTGAGTGTAACTCCAAATCCAGACCTCCATGGGTTGCTAAATTTGATTTCCATTGATAATTTTTGTGTGATTTTGTTGTCAGCACATTCAACCATGTAATGAACAAAGTATTTAATAAGAATATTTCATTCATTCAGATCTAGGATGTCTTATTTTTGTGTTCCCTTTATTTTTTTGAGCAGTGTATATATAAAATGGTCTGTGTATTTATACAGTTTTACATTCTCCCATGTCTTCTTTCTGGTGATAGGTTTCTTCTTCTTAAATGATGTCTAATAACTTTGGGTAATTTAACTGGATTATTCTACCTTTAAAATACATTGGGGAATGACTAATTAATTTACATTTGTGCCTAACAGGATTCAGCTATTGTATTTCTCTCTAATGGGTACATTTAACTTACAGGAGAGGTAGGGGACCAAACAACGGAGAACAACACTGAGAAAGGACAATTTATCCTGAACCCACTGAGCTAATAGTATCTTCCTTCCTTCATATTTTTGGGATAGAGGTGCTGATATTTACTGGGAGAGCTCCACAGTTACAATCAACAGAAATTCCTCCTCCTATTTTATAGCTAACAAATTGTCAGAATTCTGATGATACTTCTCTGAAATCTATTTTTCAAATGAAGTGTACATCCTACAAATAAGAAAGTTCCAAGTCTCTCATTTCAATTTTGTAATTTGAGAATGGGGCTATAAATTAAATGGGTAGCCACTTTAAGCCAGGAGTGGGATTCAAATTTTTTAACAACAGGTTCTGTGGGTGTGGCTTAGTTGGTGGGCATGGCTTGGTGGTCATGTTATTGACTGGGCGTGGCCAACTCAATATCACTCACATCAAGACATGCATCCACTCGCCTGGCCTCTCATGACTGTGGGGATGCTGCAACAGTTGTAAGTATGAAAAAATGGTCATAAGTCACTTTTTTCAGTGCCATTGTAACTTTGAATAGTCACTCCACACAAGCAAAGTACCAGCAAAGGAGGGGGAAAAACTCCAGAGAAGTTCCTGAAACAGGAAGTCTAGTCCTGCCAAGAATGTAATAAGGGTTAATGGAGAGGCAATTTCTGTAAGCAACACCAGAATGTTTCCTTCCTGCCTTCCTTACAGGATTAGGCCAGTAATTTCTTCTAACAACCGGTTTCCGAACTGCTTAGAATGTTAACAACTGCTTCTAGCGAATAGGTGCGAACTGGTAGAATCCCACCCCTGCTTTAAGCCCATGTTCATTGTATGTACCTTTGTCAGGATCCGTGTTTAAAATTCATACAATGACCAGTTGCAATTCAGATATTTGAGAGAAGGAGGGAAATATGTGTGGGTTTACTTGGAACCTGTCCCCATCTTAAAGTCAGAGGGGTAACACAACTCAAGAAAAATTATTAACAAGGATGGAAATAAATAGCTGGGCTGCCATCTTACTCAACTACAGCTTGTTTGGTCTCTGATTAGTAACTTAGAAATCTTGGAGTCAATGATAGGAGAAGGATTCCAGCCCTTAATCTCTAACCTCCATTCCTCACTTGTTAAATAAGCACTGGCTTATCACAGATTTATTGAAGCGGACATACTATATTCGATTTAGAGAGGGAAGAATTCAATACATATATTTTCAAAATCTCCACCTTGACATTCTTTGGAAATTCATACAGTACTGGGAAATAAATTATAGGAAAAGCAATTTTAGTTGGATAGATGTTATTGAAGCTGAATCCAATATTTTGTGTCTTGTTTTAAGAGCTATGATGGCCATATACATTGTATAAACCCAGTAAGTATCCTGTATTTGATGTAATAGTATTGACCACCTTTCTTTTTATATAAACTCATATTTTAAACTGAATAAAAATGTCTTTATTCTCTACTCAGTATAAGCTAAACAACATTCAACTGAACAGAACACATACATATCCTTCTTTCCATCTCTCTTTCTATCTTCTACTTATCTTGAGTTTTTAGATTATTCAAAGAAAAGTCTTCAGACTGTTACTCTGTAAAAATGTGCTATGCATATTAGTGGAACTATATAAAATTATATAAAGAGCCCCTCTGTGAGGGATATGAGCTGTTAAGAAGTTTGATAAATAAATATGATTATTTATGAGTAAACAAAAAAAGGCTTTTAACTGAAATGTAAAATTCAAAATGATGTTCAGTTTAAGAACTATTGTGTATACATTACTTTTCTAAAAGTTTAAGACACTAATGAAATCTTCCGTAAACCTTCATCTATTTCAACTGCTATTTATGTATAGATAATTAGATTTAAACTGTTTGTATTACTTTTTTTAAAAAAAAACCCAATCCATAGCTGCTTTGAGTACCCCGTCCCCAGGGGTGGAAAGTAAGACACAAACTTAAATTATAAATTAATAAATATATCAGAGAATGTCAAAATGATTTGTTGAAAGTTTTATAATAATCATATTTTTCAAATAAGTTTGAGTTAGAGGGAAAAAATTATCTAATGCACAGATAAATTGTAGAAAGTTCTTATGCAGATAAGTAGTTGAATTGCTCATCCTTGAGAAAACATTCTAAAAATTCAATCCATTGAATATTATTCCTCTAAGTGTATATAATGTTAACTCCCATAGTTGGACTCTTCTATTATCTCCTGTTTTAATTCAGCAAATGAGAGTGCTTGAGTATTGTAAATTTGAATGTGAAGCATAATTTCATTCATGTTCCAAACACAGAATATCTAAAAAAAATCTAGGCCTACCCATATATGTCAAAACACTATTTCATTCTCCCCTCAAGCATGTGGAACAGGAATCAGATTTCTATTTCTGAATGAATGAAAGTAATCCCTCCCTCAACCTGATGTTTTATGGGTAATTCTTAGTGCTCTTACAAACCTGATTCTGTTGCCGGTCACATCAACTGTAACAAGTCTCAGTAGTTAATTGGCTGTAGAACTGACACTCAGACAGTCCCTCTTCTCCCAAAGCTTATTATTACTGATTATATGACCATGCTCCAACTATGTAGCTTAGGCTGCTATAAGCTCTTGCAATTGGAAGGTTATACAGTACCTATATTTCTTTCTAGGGTATCTAGTAGAGAAACTGATGATCTAATGCCCTTCAAAAATATTTCATTTTAATTCCCACCAGTTCTACAAAAGGACAATGGAAGTTGCAATCCAAATCATCTAGAGGGCATCGCACTGTCTACACCTAATCTAAAATTAACACATTTCTTTTTAAGGGCATTTCCAGACTGCATTGAATTTCCTGGAATTAAGCATGATTAAATAATAAAGGAAGAATAGATGTGCTAAGCTATTTATTATGGGTCGCAGTGACTTGGATTAAAAGTATAGAGCTGAAATACCAGAGACTTTTTGTGTGAATGGCCAGTTTGGATCACTGAAACTCTCACCCTGAGTTTCCTCAAAAGGTCAGTTTGAAGAGAATTGGAGATGGAATGGAGCTATCTATATACACAGGCCAAACTCCTTGAAGTCAGAGGTGGAGGATTCAAATATATCAAAAAGCAACATTTTGGCACACTTCTCACTCTTTCTGACTTCAAGCTCATGATGTGATCTGCTCTAAAAACATCCATATAATCTGCAAAATACAGGAAGGATGCTGATATAGGAAGAAAGAGGGAGGGAGAGAGAGAGAGAGAGAGAAAGAGAGGGGGGAATTCAGTTGAAATGCCACTACCTGAAGTTCAAGAGAAAATCAACATCTTCCTCCTAATGAGCTGCCAAACTAGGATAGGATTGAAATAACTGTTGTAGCCAGGATCATACTGTCATTATTTCATTAATGCTACCCTTGAGGAATGCAAGGGCATGATAATAATCTGAAATTGTTAGCTTTTAAGAAGTAAGAATTGCTAGCTTTTAAGAAGTAAAAGGAAAATAATCATCTTAACTCCATCAAATTATTTGTCTTGAATTTTTTCCTCCAAGGCTGAGCTGCTGAAAACTGTCTACAATCTTAGGCAGTTCTAGGGACTAGAAAAATGATTCTTGGAGGCTATGTGTAGCCTATAAGCTTTGGTTGTCCATCCTACAACCCGATTCAGACCCTTAATTCTTTGTAATATCTTTCTAAAGTAAAATGAAAACAATAGGCTTTAGGAAGGGAAGACCAACACACACAATAAACAGCAAGAATATAGTCACAAGCAGTTAAACATGTACTGTGTTACATTACATTACAGCCATGTAATCTCACTGATTACACAGCAGACCAATATGGCTATCCCTTCCTAAGTGACAATCAGTTACAAAAATTAGTCATTCTCACAAAAGAAATTACACTGATATCTGCTTCAAAGAAGTATTAGAACTGGTGATGCAACTTATTTCTTCAAATAACAATGAGGCCATTTACACAGATTGATTAAACACAGTCACAATAGGCTTCTAATTTGTGTAACCTAGGATTTAAACATGACATAATATTTTAGGTACTAAGGAAGATGTCAAAAAGACTAACCAGCTGATGGTAACTAACTCAGCCATCATTTCCTCATTTCAAACTAAACATGCTGGAAACAAATAATTTTCTGAAACTGGAAAGAGTTCTGATTGTTGCTGAATATATTGCTGGCACTATTAATGGCAAAAAAATGTAGCATCTATCATCTCCTAAAGTCAATGTTTGAAAATCCATTTCCCCCCATCTCACCTGATTCCCGAAACTGTTGGTTGTGACTCTCCCAGATTTCCTGAATCTGGAGAAGGCTGTCTTCCATACTCTGGATGTCAGTCTCAGGACAATTGCATTGTGGGTAATTAAACCCACATTGGCACCAGCAGTCATTATCTCGGCACAGCAGCTCCCCCTCTGAATTGCAGGTGATGTAACTTAGAGCAGCAACAACAAAGCGTTCTCGCAAGTACTCAGGTAGTACTGCCTGAAGACCTACCAAAGGAATACAGAGTAGTCACAACCTCAGTACAATGATATCTACATTGTGAATAAATGAGTATTCTGGAAATCAGACTGCTGCCCTCATAGTTCTTTTCAGGAGAATAAATATCACTAATGAATCTTTCAAATTTTTAAATGTAAAAAGAAAAATGAGGCAAAAAATTGTAAGTTCAGGCTAATTGTTGGCAAAGTGGTATTTCGGAGGTAACACTGATCTTTTCAGAGGATTGTTTTTAGACAAAAAATACTTCACATTAATTTTGTTTTGGAAGGCTGATTACTTAGAGAAGTTCAACTCTTAAAATTATATACTGATCTTCTGAAAATTAATAGGTAACAGATATGAATACAGTATATTTTATGATAGCAAAAATGATACTATAACATTGGAAGACTACCCATTCACAATTAAGTATGCAGCAGCATAAAGAGATTAGATTTCTCTCTACAGCTATAAATTCCAATTAGGATTTATTTAGAAATCTAAACTGCATATATCAAATGATATGTTTACATGTTTAACTTTTCATTTGTTTCTCATTAAGTAAAATGACTTCAGTGTTAATAACTTAATTGCATGAGACATGTATATGCACAAGTTTTATTTGACACATTGAAAATAATGTTTTATGTTTTTCCTATTTTTTCCTTCTTTTTGTTTCTCTTTTTGAACATAAAATAATAAACAAAGAAACAAATAGCCCAAGCAATGAAATTATTGGAGTGGGATCTGAAAACTTATCTTCCTGCTGATATAAAACAGTTCTAGAGGAAAATATACATAATATTTCCACATTCTTTCCAATATTGATTCTCAAACTTAGAATGCATTACCATGAATAGATAGGCAGTACAACCAAAGCTACAATCACATGTTGATGAAAAACTGAATAGCTAAAGATAGATTGATAAGAAAAGCTTAAAACTCAATTTTTTGCTCACCACAGCTGAAACACAAATATGTTCGGAATAGTAAATGACTCTATGGAAGGGATCTTAATGCAGAATTGTTCTGAAGATCAGTTGATTGGACTGAAATTTTAATTATTTTTTTATTTTATTTATTTTTGTCAATTGCTTACAAAATAATAGGTATAAGTAAAAACATAGTTATGAATACATGGATACATATAAGAAAAATAAAAGAAACAATAGGACAAGTAGGTTGGAAAGTAGGTTGTTTGTTTCTAAGTGGAGGATGATGGATTGGTTAATAATTGATTCCATGACTTCACAGGTGATGCAGCATAAAGAGATTGGTCTGTAATTTTCAACTAGGCTGGGGTCTCCCTTTTTGAAGATAGTGACCATAGTTTTGGCAAGGAGCTGGTCTGAAAGATTTTTCAAAGATTATGCTTAGAGGTTTGGCTATGGCAGTGGATAGCTTTTTTAAGAAGTAGGCACATATTCTGTCCGGTCCAATAGATAGAGATCTAGTTTTAGATTGCATAGTGCTTTTTCAACATTGTCTTCTGTAAAATCGATATGTATTAGATCATTGTAGTTGTCTGTGGTTCGACTAGGAAATACTGGGCATGATCCATTGCTGTTTACAAATACTGAGCGAAACAATGTGTTAAAGAGGTTGGCTTTAATAGTGTCGCCGTTGCAGTCTTTACCATTAGGCCCTTTCAGGGGTGGGATGGACCTTGAGTCTTTTAGTTTGTTGTTTACAAAATTGGAGAAAGCGTGGGTGGAATTTGTGCATAGAAGGTTTTCTTCTTGTTTAATGTGATAATTGGTGCATTCAGTCTTTATCTGGTGGCATAAATTTTTGTATCAGCTTTTGAAGTTGGCAACGTGACCAGATTTGTTTTTCCACCAAAGTGATTTCTTTTTGGATTGAAGCTTCCTTATTGTTATGGGTAATTTGTTTTTTCTGGTTTTGGGAGTTGTTATTGGTAAATATAGTTTGATGGCTCTTTTGACTTCAAGTAAAAATATGTTGTAATGGTCTTCTACAGTATTGCATCCAGAGAATAGAAATTGCCAATCAAGGGATGAGAGATCATTGTTTATAAGATCATTGTTGCCTTTTTTGAAGTTATAATTGGAGATTCCATCGTTGTGATGATTTTTGTGTGGACGTATGTTGAGACAAAAGTCAATCATGCTGTGGTCACTGTTGGAAACGAGTTCTTTAATTTGTATTCCATAAATTGAATTCAAACTATTGCAAAAGATGAGATTGAGGCAGTTGTTAAGTCTAGTGTTGTTGGTTACTAGTTGTTCTAGTCCCAGATTTGTTACTACATTGTAGAAGGTTGCATGTGTGGGTTCAGTTGTACATTCGTTAAGGGTCCAGTTAATATGAGGTAGATTGAAGTCACCAAGAAAGATAAAAGCGTGTGGGCAGGATGCTACCCATGTTAGTAGTGTATTTAGCTTGTTTGCATGTTCGATGTCATAATCAGTGGCTCTGTAACATAGTAAGAACCGAAATGTGATATTTAAGGACAGTTCACAGATGATGGTCTCAGGAATAGCAAGCTCCTGGGTAACTTGGATGTTTTTTAGATGTAGGGACTTTTTATAGAAGATAGCAACACCACCTCCTCTACGGATTTCACGATCTGATCAGTAAACATGATAGTCTATTACTGTGGTAATGGAGTCAGGGAGAGATGCGTTGAGCCATGTTTCACAGACAAATATAATGTCGAATTTAGCTGTATTTAGTAAGAGGAGAAATTCAGGTATTTTATTTACAAGGCTTCTTGCATTGAGTAGCTTGCATTTAAGGCCAGTTATGGTTAGAATAGAGGTAGTTGGAGCATGCGTGCCTAGTTTTGAGTGATGTTGGATTGGATGGGGTGGGGTTGGATGTGGAGTTGTGGGTTGTATGACTTTCTTTTGATGCAATCAGCTTGGTAGTCAATGTATAGGTCCTTTTCTCCATTGTCTAGACAGTTTTTGAGTTCTTCATGGAGTTCACGGGAGTGGATTCTCTACAGTATGGATAAGTCTGGTCTTGAGCGAAGTTTTTTGTGGTTGGGATTGGGTTTTGCAATTGCATTTATTATATGAATGAATATGCGTTTGCTGGACTCATTTTTGCATACAACTCTACAAAATCTTGGGGCCACAGAGCCGTCATTGCATTTGAACTCAGGGCCATCTCTGGTTATTTCAATGATATTTTCAGGAGATATGTTTGTTGTATTTGAGTTGCGAACTTTGGTGATGTCGTCTCATTTGTTGGCAAATAAGATGGCATTTGGACGTTTCTGTTCACATTCCATGATGTCTTTGATGAGTAAGGGAATATTATTTGTGGAATTATTTGATGGGATAGTAATTGTTTGTGGCTGTGATTTGGTGGTTATTTTTGGTTGTAGTTGTGATTGTAATTGAGGTAGTGGTTGTGGTTGTTGTGGGATTTGATTTTGAGCTGATAGGTACTCACTTATCTGTGCTGTATTTTTTTTTCAAGAGAGATTGGGCTTGCTTGTATAGTTGTTTCAAAACGTGTTGCTAAGTGTTCTTCTATTGAATGAATGAGTGATTCTATGCTTTCAACTCTGTCAGGTAGGGTACTCAGTTTGTTTAGCTTAGGAGAAGATGATGGACATAGATAAAAGAATGTATCTGAATTTTTAACCATATCAGCTAGGCTTTTGTTTGCGTTTAAGCAGGCAGAGTTGGCTTGATTGTCGCATAGGCGGCATTTGATGTAAATTTCCCCTTCGTTGATGGTTTCAAGGCATCTAAAACATGTGCAGGAGTCTGGGAGGTCATTGGTAGAGATATTTTTCTTTTGTTTTGGTTTGGAGTTTTTGGCTGGCATGGTCAATGGCAATAGTACACTAAACAATTACAATACCTAGTTAATGTGATAGGTAGACAGTTACTTAATGAATGTTGGTAATTAATAAATGTAAATTGATATGTTAGAGAACAAATCAAAAGTAAGGTTACTTATTACTAAAAATCAATCAATCAATTGATTATTCAAATCACTCTAATCAAATAATTTTGCTAAGCAACAAGCAGCCTAATTTATTACAGTAATAACTAAACACACTGGTCAATTAAATTCACTAAATCACTGATTTTACTAATCAGATATTCAGTAATCACACTATATGCACTAAACACTCAATCATACTAATCAATAAAAACAATAAATCAATTAATCATTTGATAAAAATTAATTATTTTAAAGAAATTGATTTGGAGACATCATTATCTAATCTTTGATATAGGTCTTGAGGTAGAAAGTTATAAGTTTTGAGATAATGAAAGTAATGAAGTAGTACTGAGAGTCAGTAAGTAAAGAGTTATTGCTTTGCTTAGCTGTTGCTGATATCTGAGAATAGGTTTATAACCCCTAATAAACTGGCAGGAGGCCTCTTTTCCTGGGCTGGAGAAACAGCAGTTTTTTTTGTGTCAAACAGGTTTTAAAACATGAACAGAGGAAACATTTTCAAGTCCTACTCAAGCTGTTTTCCTCTTGCTCAGTGAGCAAGGGTTTATACTCTCTTTCTTGTTTTGTAGATTGAGTTTTTGAGATAGTAAAGATGCAAAGATGCTGAAGGGGGGGATCTCTGGCCCCTTCTCTTTGAATTTAAAAAAAAAGTTTGTGGCCCAGAGAGAGAAAATAATTCAGGGAGAGGATTTGGGCAATCTGATTACTTATAACCTTACTTTGATTTATTGCTGCTGTAATCTGATCCGCTGGGGACACTCATTGTAAAAACTGTAAAAACTGTAGGTTTTGAACACGCTGAAATAAGAGCAGTACACGCAGCTGAATCTGATCAAGAAAGGACTGAAAAACTCCTTAAAGACTTGGTCTCTCTATCCTCCCTCCTTGTTTCTCCCTGCCAGCTGTCCAATGTGGCTCCGGGGAAATTGTGTGGGGGATATTAATGGAGACACGTTGTCTGGCGTGGAAGATACTTCGATCAGCTGTGTGGGGGATTTAAATGAAGGTACGTTGTTTGCGCTCCGCTGGCTCCAAGTGATCTAGTTCAAGAGGTCCACCGGTGTGGCCAATAGGGCTCGATGGAAAGAGCTTCTCCGGGGAAGGAGAAGAGGGCTCCGGATCGGTTAGCAGGAGCTCCGCCGGCGTGATTAGGGCTCCAGGGCTTCGGAATCCAGCCTTTTTTGGGCTTGTTTTTTGGGCTCCGGTTTACTCACAGTTACTGGCACAGGCGGTAGCTTTATAGGGAGATAGAGCTCCAGGAGCTAGAGCTTCACCTTCCTAGTTGGCTGCCGCCATCTTCTCAAACTTGCCAAGTTTGAAGACCCTTGGATTAATGCGGCATCCATATTTTCATGAAGCTTGGCCTGAAAATGATTCTTGACTCTTGATTCTTTCCAAGTTTATTTGGTGCCTTAAAAATCCTAAACGCCCCCCTTGCACACCGGGCTCCATGTTTGGCTTCTTGTATCTCACATCCAGAAAGGAGCATTATCAGCATCACAATAGTGTGTTGGCGGCTGTGCTTCCTGGAAGCTAGGGATTGATAAGATTGATAAGATTAGAATTGGTCTGATGCTCTGTAGATTGCTGAATGTGAATGTAGAATGTACTGAATATAGTGTTTTCTGTTGATAATTTCTGAATTATTTTGCATTAGAGAAGAAGGCTTCCTAAGATTATGATTGCCACACTAGAGCTACAGGATCCAACCTCCTATTGCAAGATCTCCAGTGAAGCATACTGTAGTTAGGTTAACTATACTGAATGCAATATTCTTAAGGATGGTGGATTTTATTTTTGAAACCAGTTTCTTCATAAGTAGACCATAGATTAAGTCTTGCCCAGAAACCCTTCTCAAAGGAAAAGCCTAAACTTAGATCATTCCTTTGCAAATGAGCTCTATCATATGGTCATAGGAGACATTTTTGGCTTTTACTATTCTTGAGTATTGAGTTGATTTCAGAAAACAATGCTGACAAATCAAGTGAAAATAGGACTGGTAGAACAGGTCAGTTAGGTTTTTGTACAGTAATACATTTATTTTGACTTGGTCCAGGTTGATGTTATTTCCACCAATTGTGGGAAAAGAGAAATAGTATTTGCTGCCTGCAAATTGAGGAAAAAACTGAAACATCTCATAGCGCTGGAAGAGAAGACATGCCTCAGTATAATTTGTTGCTCATTTTGCTGTGATTGCATTTAGCAGTTTGGCTTTCTTATTGATTTCGTCTTTTCTTCAGTGAAGAAAATTGGGAATTACAAGAACACGTTTTTCTCATAATCTGAGTATGCTGTCTTTCTGGTCATCTTTATCCTCCTCCACTCAAAAACAAGATAAATTCATATGCAATAATAATATTGAATACATTCGTATCCAATAATATGTGCTGACAATTGGACACAGCATTCTAAATTATACTGGCAATATTGAGAATATCACTTAAGTAATGCACACATTTTCAAAGCACGTTTTCTTCCATTGTAGACCATGTATTTGCAATCAACAAATTTATAGCCATATGAAGACGTTTTAGGCAGACACTGTAAATAACACCTCTGATCAATCCACACTCTGCTGTAGCCATTAGTAATTATTAATACCGAATGGGTAATATTAGAATCTCTCTCATTTCTGCTAATTTTTGAACATCTCTGCAAGGGAGTATACATAATTCCCAGGACTGTGCATCTGAGCACTTAAATTTTAGTAATCCTAATTTATCTGTAATATATACAAAAGCCAAAAAATGTAATTGGGCAATATGTTATTTATTTATTTATTGTTGTGCCTTGGAGTCAGCTTTGGCTCCAGGCAACTGCTTAGACAAATTAATTAGGACCAACCAAAATGTCATTACACAATTTCTTCAACTGTCTTTTTTGTCTAATTATTTATAATTAATTTCTACTTTTGCTAATATAAGGGCAATTAAAAATTTTTTATTTCTGTTCTGTACTAATCCAGGATCTATGCTTTTTGTTCAGAGCAGTTTTTAGATTTTCTGAAATTAGGGAATGGGATGAGACGGGGAAGCCACTGCTAAAATGTAGTAATAGTCTTGATTTAGTTCTTTAACCATTTTGAGTCTAAACTGCAATTTACATCCACAATATCTAATCTAGTGGGGACAAGGGGGTCTATTTATTTATCTCGCAGCCCAATAAAAATTCTAAGAACCTAAAATTTTAAATTATTTTCTCTGATGGACTAGCATATTCTTGTGTATGTATATTTGTTTGTGAATGTATTACATGCTAATGAAATATTGTACGGTATATGTCTATATGTCTATATGTGTATGTGTATAACCACACATGCACAAAGATATTTTTTGATTTTGTTCCTGAATGTGTGATGCAGTTATATTCCACAGCCAGATAGTTGGTTCATTTCCCTTGAGATTTCTCTTGATTGGTTCTGTCCCTGTTGGCCTTTCATAAGGCCTTAAGAATTTTGCTTTGTACTTTGTGCCTGGATGCCTGGGCATGGGTTGGAATCTGATGTCTGGATGATAGATTAGATCCTGCCTGGCTGCTATGTGGGTTCTTTTATTTTTATTTTATATCATGTTTGGTGTTTTGACTTGTTTTATTGTAAGCCACCTAAAATCACATAAAAGTGAAATGGGAGGTTACATCTATCAAGTAAATAAATAAATAAATAATGTATATGATAGAATGCATCAGGGAGGTTTTTGTGTGGAAATTCTCTTGGGACAGTAAGAGTTATAATCATAGAAACCATAATTTAAATTGCAATCAGTGTTGGGAAAAGATGCTGGTATGGAACTGCATATCCCATTTTTAAGCCCATTGCCACATAGTTTCCTAAAAAGAAAGCAAAGTTGTTTCAGACAGAAGAGCAATACTTTGCATTAAATGCATTTTAATATTCTTTGTAGCAGTATATTACAATGACACACAAGCATTACAAAGAGAGTGTCCAGTGACTAATGCAGATAAATGAAAAGAGAAACACCCTTACCAAGTAGCTGAACCTTGTTTTCTGGGCTCTGCACAAGAACTGAACTCACAGAGTCAAGGTTGTCATAATTACTGCAGCCAAGTGGGCCCGTCCTGGTTTCAGTAACCTAAAGATGGGAAGCATATAGTTTTAATGTAAGTAAGTAAAACCTAAGTAAAACAAATAGAAAGTAACCCATTCTGATCCAAGGAGTTACTTGGACTGGCAGGAGGTACTTTTGATTGATGAAAAAGCTGGAATGGGAGGCAGAAAAACAGTGCAGCCTTTAGATTTCAGTGGTTCAACCAAATGCTTCACATGGCTGAAGGTACCAGCCAAAGGGTGTGCTTATTAAAAGATTATGGGTAATGGAGAACAGCACACCTGGAGGACAGGTTTTGAGGGAAGCTGCCTTATATGGTGTCATAAAGTTAGATGTGGACCATAAAATTGGTGCCATCATGCCATTGTCTCCTCTCCTCCATGTACACCATCCTGCTAGGATGGTGCCCTCATGTATATACACACACCCTCTGCTTCAGAAGAGTCCATTCAGATCCTATTTCTGAATTCCATCTTCTTCCCCTGGACTATGTTATGTGCAAAATCAACAACTCATTGATTCTCCAAAGATTTTCACCTGCTAGCATATGTTGTCTACAAAAGCTTCATTCTTCATCTGATCCTGCTTAAATGGGCCTGCATTAGTGTAGACCTAACTGGTATCTAACTGGATCAAGTTATAACTGGATCTCGAGAGTCTTATTTCAGTATGTGTTCTGCTATTCAATACTGGAAATTCATAATTGCAAAAAAGCTAAAGAAAGCTAAAGAGACATTCCTTTCTGAATGAAACCATTCCTTTCTGAAAAGCAGGGTCTTGCCTCTTGTCTATTCTCATTGCCAACATGAAACAACATTCCCTTTTCTTCCAATGTCATTCTGCTTTTGAAAAACATCAGTCTTTATCAACATCACTTGTAAAATTCCATATATCATTGCAATAAGTTATGTATAGCAAGTACATAAGTATAAAATTTACCAGATAACATAATTTATTCCTAGTAGAAACTATGCATTATGAAGTAGTATAGAATCGACACTGGCTATATCATAGGCAATACATAAAGTGTCACCACAATTAAAATATCAATAGCAGGGAGACAGGGAGTCTCTGGATTTATCTTAGGCAATGCTCAGAGGCAGCTACATATTTTTCTTTCAAACTGCCATTTGCCTTTCGTAATTGTTCCAAACCTAGGTTGTTGTGAACCTAGGAATGTATTTGAGAGTGAAGGAGAGAGAATATTTATTTTTCTAAAAACTGGTTTCCAAGAAAAGGATTTACTATTCTGGACTGCTTTGGTCAGATTGAGATCTTACCCTAGCCCTAAACAAACAAAACTGATACAAAACTACCACATATTTCAGGAATCACTACTATTTTGACTTTTAAGAGGTTAGCATCCTGAAGTACCTCCAGAATAATCTCAAAATTAAGGCAAAATCAATAACATTTATTTTAAAAATGTAAGATTGTCATGAAGTCACCATATTGTGAGACTTTGTGCAAGAACATCCTAAAATTGACTGATTAATTTCAGTCAATTAATCCTTTTAAAAATGAAGAGATAGCTGAAAAAATAGCCATTCATTGGTTTAGACTGAACCCTCTAACTGCACCTCTAACTCAACTGCCTATCAGTTAGTTCAGAAGAATATCATAACTGACAGCATCAAAAACTAGTGAAAAGTCCTGGTCATTGATATGATTGTCTTTCATCAATTCCAATCATCCATGATGGAAACAAAAACTGAACACCTGATTCAAAACAATTTTGATAATAAGATACGATAATGAGATATACATGGAACTAGAAATCATTCTAAATTGGAGTAGGTGTGAAAATGAATTAAAGATAATTGCTTTTGAAGCTGACATGGTGTAGAGTCATATTGAAATATAATTAAAACAAAATAACAGCATTTGAAGTTGCTCTACTATTACTTTTTATATTTATTACAGTTCTCTGACTGGTTTTTATGGTGTTAATGCTGTTTATTTTGTTTTTATTTCTTATTTATTTTGTCACATTTATTTGGCTACGATTCAAAGTGATTCTGGGTGGCATATAACATATAGACCATCATGGCTACTTATACAGAAAGGCAGTATAAAAATAAAGATATATTAATAAAGTCAGCATAAAAATGCAACAGAGTATAGTACTTATATTCTAATTGGTCAAAATAATTTTAAATCTCTAAAAGTATCTTCAAATGTATTTTGAGGTTACTCTCAATATATTACAATGTATTTCTACTAAATAAGTCTACTAAATAAGTCCACACATTTTACACCCAGAAAAAAAAAGTCTGTATAAAATAAAGATAACATAGCATCATGCTTTGGAGGACATTAATGGTATACAGGAGAAAGACAGATTCTATCCCTGGCGAGACTGAATCTGATTTTTCCTTCCTAACAAGAAAGTTGCACATGAATATAAGTCCTTCCTGCACAACCTAGAATTGTTTTCGTGAAGCTTGTGCAGAGAAATCTTCCACGAGAATATTCCCAATGTTAACATTGCCAGAACAGGAACAGGGAACATTTGCACAAATATATCTATCAACTCCAAAACTTAAAAGTTGCAGTAAAAAATGAGAAAACTCCCCGCCACTTCATGCATAATGAAATTAAACATAAAAGTACTTTGAAATAGTAAGGCTGGAAAATGGGTTGTATAAGCAAGAGTGAAGTACATCAAGTTTATGACAGTGCAAGAGGCAGCACTGCTTCTAAAAAAAGAAAATAAATGTATAGTAATTGGCTTGTTGAGAGAGAAGATCCCCCACCTGTACTTCCTTCTCCAAAATTCAGCATAATTAGCAAAACCAATTTCCCATAAATAGCATACAGTCAACAGTTACGGCCTGACTTTTGTTTGCTATTCCTCCTGATTCTTTGGAAGGGTGGAGGGATAGAAATAGATGGCTAAGAGGAAAGGTTTATAATTGTGGAAATCTCAGGGATGGAAGTTCTGATTAAGCAACCTGAAAATTATAGTCCAGGCAACACAGAGAAGTTGATGGGGAGAAAAATAAATTGAGATGTGTTCTGTCAAATGCAGAAGAAAAAGCAAAGGAACTGGAATCCAATATTTACAGTATACTCTGGGAGAAATTGCAGGGTTCCATTCCAAACTAAAACCGTCTCCTTCTTAGCACATTGAGCTGAAAAGGGGATTAGCTGGCAAGGCTGAAAAAATGGGGAATAGATGGACCAGGAATCTAACTCAGCTTAAGTGTATATACTGATTGCTATAAGCTTATCCAATGAATGGAATTTGTCAGCTCTACCAAATCCAAATCCATTTCTTTGTCTATGACTCAGACAGACAGGAACTTACAGTACATACATGCAGGGGGTGGGATTCTACCAGTTTGTACCTATTCGCTAGAACCGGTTGTTAACATTCTAAGCAGTTCAGATAATTGGTTGTTAGAAGAAATTACTGGCCTAATCCTATAAGGAAGGCAGGAAGGAAACATTCTGGTGTTGCTTACAGAAACTGCCTCTCCATTAACTCTTATTACATTCTTGGAAGGAATAGACTTCCTGTCTCAGGAACGTCTCTGGAGTTTTTTCCCCCCTCCTTTGCTAGTACTTTGCTTGTGTGGAATGACCATTCAAAGTTACAATGGCACTGAAAAAAATGACTTATGATCATTTTTCACACTTACGACTGTTGCAGCATCCCCACAGCCATGAGAGGCCAGATGAAGAGATGCGTGCCTCGATGTGATATTGAGTGGGCCACACCCAGCCAATAACATGACCACCAAGCCATGTCCACCTAGTTACATGACCACCAAGCCACGCCCATTACCTAAGCCACGCGCATAGAACCAGTTGTTAAAATTTTTGAATCTCACCCCTGCATACATGCATCCCTTGGGCAGCCCAAGGGGTGGGCTTCAAAAAATTTAGCAGCCAGTTCTCTGCCCGGTTGCTGGATGGGTGTGGCCATGGTAGGCATGGCCTAGTTGGCCTCCTGCACCCTCCCCTGGCTCTGGAGGCTTTCCTCAAGGCTCCAGGAGGGTGAAACCTCCCATGGCTCTGGAGGCCCTCTGGAGGCCAGAAACGGGCCTGTTTCCATCCTTCCAGAACTTCCAGGAGGGCCATCCCTGAGCCTCTGTGTGGGCCCTGCACTTACCTGGGATCCAAAATGGGCTGCATGGAGACTCCTGGGAGGGGAGGGGAGGGGAGGGCCAGCCAGTCGCTGCAACTACCGATTCAGTGAACCAGATGTAAAATTAACATGGGGTTCACCTGAACCAGTGTGAACCGGTAGTAGCCCACCCCTGGGCAGCCCCTTCATCTCTCTCCCCCTTATTTACAGTAAAGATGCAACAGGAAAGTGGCATTTTAGGTCTCTGTGTACTTGTGTTTTGTCATTGCTCTGTTTTGGAATTCTTGAGTTTAAATTCTTTTTATTTCTCACTTTTCTATCATGCCTGAGGGCACCTAGTACCAGGAAAAACAAAATAAAACAAAACAAAAGGCTAAGTGTGGCCAAGTGTAAAAGGTCTTTTTTAACAGCTTCTTCATCTGTTGCAAAGCTACGGTTGTTTTTCTACAGGTCTCTTGCTTTTTTAACCATCATTCCCAATTTTGCAACTTCAAGGTTTCGGTTATTGTTCAGAGAAATGGTTTTGCACAGAGCTCTTTCTCAAGGGCACTCTAAATAACCCTTACTTATGTGCCTCTAGATTTACCTTGATTGCAGCAGTTGCTATCTGGATATGATGGAGACGTCTCAGGGTGCTCTCCCGATCGATGAAATATGAGGCTGCCAGCTGATGCAGTGTTTCCAAGGAGACGGTGGTGTTACTTCCCCCACTCCCGGAGAGGCTACCAGCTTCTGCCTTCCGACTGAGCTTCCGTTTGTCCACAAAAATGGTCAAGGATTCTTCCCCTGTGAAAACATGAGGCTTTATGCTGAGTTGGTTCAACACCAGGATTAAGAAGCATTGAGGCAATGGATAAATTTAGTCACAAAAGGGAATAATGAAGAAAAGAAAAAATGCAACTTACAACAGTTCGACTTAACAACAGATCATTTACTGACCTTGAAAGTTGCAACATAATTGAAAAAAGTGACTTATGACCACTTTTCATACTTATGGATGTTACAGGCATCCCCACAGTCATGTGACCAAAATTCAGACAGTTGGTAATTGATTAATATTTATGACAGTTGCAGTGTCGCAGGATTATGTGATCAGCTTTTGTGGCCTTCTGACAAGCAAAATCAATGGGTAAATCAGATTAACTACCATGTTACTAACTTAAAAATTGCAATAATTCACTTAACAACTGTGATAAAATAGGTTGTAAAATGAGGCAAAACTCACTTAACAAAGGTCTCACCAATATAAATTTTGAGCTCAATTGTGGTCGTAAGTCAAGGACTACATGTATATAGTTTCTAGGACACATTTGGTCAAGATTAATTATTTACTACCATCATCATCTTCATCTTCATCAGTCATAAGCCACCATTTAATAAGAATCATAGCACAACTTCTGGTAGGCATACTTCACACCCCAAACTTAATCATCTTGAATTGGGACTATAATGTGTTGAACCCAGCACATTTTTTGTAAAATAATCTGACTCAAGAATGGACAGAGAGCAAAGAATACATGGAGACCAGGAAGGTGATATTGGGAGGGGCTGGTTGTTGCTTGGAAGAGATTGGTCTATCCATTATTATTGTCTCTACGATCAAATCGGTAATTAGATGAGAATGTCTCGGAATCTCCTGGCCATGATGTTGATTCTTGAGATTTGGCTTCCATGAGTTACTAGATATTATTTTCTTCCACTTTAATTATTTAATTTTTTCCCTATCCCATGCCCCAGCCCCTACCATTAGACAATTCTGAACTTGCTTTATTTATCCATTGCACATTCATTCATTCATTCATTCATTCATTCTTCATTCATTCAAAATGCAGTATGTTATGGTTAAGGCTGTCTTGAAAAAGAGGTATATGTGTTGGAATCTGGCACTGATTTTTTTTGTGGGGGGGGAGTGAAAGGGCTGAATAGCCTTGAGTCTCTTTAGGGAGGAAGACGCTGAAGGATGATCCTTCCTAAAACTTTGAAGAATGTATGTAGTAGTTAAGCAGTGTGTGCTTTAGCCTAGCAACATTCCTATCTATAGGTGAGCAACAGTAAAGATAGCAATAGCAATAGCACTTAGATCAGTGGTTCCCAAACTTTTTCAGTCCACCGCCCCTTCATGCTACAAACTCATCCTCGGTGCCCCCCACCCAGGGGTAGGATTCAAATTTCTTAACAACTGGTTCTCTGGCGTGGCCTAATCTTTGGGTGTGGCTTGGTGGTCATGTGACTGGCTGGGCATGGCTTGCTGGCTGGGCGTGGCTTGGTGGTCATGTGACTGGATGGGCATGGTTTGGTGGTCATGTGACTGGCAAACCAAATATAAGTGGTCCTCACTTAATGGCCAGTTGCTTAATAAGTGTTCTAATTTATGACTGACCTCCCCAGAGCTACTTGACCTGTTTTTGAGAGTTCTGACAGCCATGCGTGCACGCGCGCGCACACACACACACACACACACACACATTCCCTTCTAACCCTGCTGGAGCAGGTGGTTGGACTAGATGTCTCATTCACTTTCTCCTCCCTCTCTTTCTTTCTTTCTTTCTTTCTTTCTTTCTTTTTCTTTCTTTCTTTCTTTCTTTCTTTCTTTCTTTCTTTCTTTCTTTCTTTCTTTCTTTCTTTCTTTCTTTCTTTCTGTTCCTTCCTTCC